TGTGCTGTAGTTTCCTTCTAACGTTGTCCCTGACTTTTTCTTTTGACATTATGTGACAAAGCCTACACATATGACCTAATTTGTCCTCCAGTAGGACAACAATCCAGACCAGTGAATGCCATTGTCCAGGCCCAATTGGTCAACGACCCTCCCTCTTTTCCTACACCAGCCACTGCGGATGTGAATTGGCAGCGAGGTCATGTCCTTGCCTTGCTGCCAAACATACACATTGTGAGAGTTAACTGAGTAAATTTACTTTTGACTGGAGCCCATTCAGACCCTCAGTCAGACACACAGATACACTCCAGCAAGGTGAACTCTGAGCATACAAAAAAGACCATCTTCCTTTCTCTAGAGATTTGCAGGAGTTTCCAAAGGTGTGCTTGTTAATCAGGGACGGTAAGGACCTGGGTCACCGTCTGTAACACAGACCAGGGGCAGTAAATGGATGAAGAGGGGGTGAAAGGGCACCCTCAGACATTCCTTTAGAAAATAAACAGGAGAAAAACCCACTTCCTTGGACAGGTATTCTGAGCAGATGTAGGCAAACTGAAGTAATTTTTTTTTCTGTTTTGCTACTTCTTTAAACTGTCACTGTTTTCCTGAATACAAAAATGCCTTATATGGTTGTTGGAGGTGAAGCTTTTAGAAATAAACTAATCATCCTCAAGTTTCAAATGCACAGTTGGGAGTGAGTTTAATGCAATTAGCAGGTTATCAGTTGCAAAGTGGACGTGTCTGCTGTCTTCCTGTTACCGTATGGTCTGACAGGAGGGAGGGTTGGCTCTTCTGCTGAGCCACAGATAAAAAAGAAGAAGAAAAAACAGACAGATGCCCTCCTGCAAAGAAACACCCTTGTCTTTTGTTACACACTGACTCCTCTGTCTGGTGTTTTTACAGTCTGTCTCTAGTCCAGGTAAAAAGGCAACGGGTTCAATTTTCCAATTTTGCTTTTTTGGTAAGTTTTAATATTTAATGAAAAGGTAATGTCAATGTTTCCATAACTGAGCAGTAGAAAAGGAATCCCATGAAGGGAGGGGGTTGAAAGTAGTGACCTCTGGCATTAAGGCACTAGCAAGTGTATTTAATGTTTGGGGCCGCCCCTGCCTTTGTGTCCAAGCCACTGGTTCAATGAAAGGCAGCAGTAGGGGTCACTTCAGGCATCTGCTGCTCTCCTGCACCACTCAGCTGTCCATCTGTGGACGCTGTTGTCCTTCTGTCCACTCACACACACTCAGACACACAGACCAATGTAGAAAATTCACCCAAATGTATCTCTAATCACCACTTACCAACTCTCACACAACAACTTTGCATTTTGAGCAAATTGTATCCAGGCTTCTACTGCCAGCATTTCTTTAAAATTGTGTCCCACTTTGATCAAATCGCCCCCTGCTGATCTGTGGATACTGTATTTGTCCCTCTAATCCACTTCTCTGAGTCTGTTTAAGTTATGTATGTGCATAAAAACTTAGGAATCATGTGCTTAATCATGTGCTTATTACTCGTCCAATCAGTGGACAGCTAGTAGTTTTCTTTGGTTTATGTCTCATAGCCTTTAAATAGAAGATCATATGATACACAGAGGAAGAAAAGCAAAGGCTGGGCAAAGCAATTTCTTTAATTTAGAAAATCACTCCCAATCATCACAAATATGACCAACATTTGCCTCCATACTCCTCGATCCACTTTGCATTCCGTAATGAAGAATTTCCTCCAGACTGTGTCTTGTGAGCAGATACACGTAGATTTTGCCAGATTGTGTATCAACATTTGTAATCTATAATTGGTATAAGTTGAATTAATACACAGACCGTTTTGAGGAGACTCTAAACTTAATTCCTTGAATTCCGTTATACACGTATTGATATGGTTAGCAGAGAAGACTGAGCTGAATTGTAACCAAAAAAATTGAATTGTTTCAACTACAAAACTGACATTGTTTCCATGCATCCTCCATTAAGTGGACAGACAAGTCTGAAGAGTAAGTGTGCTCACCTGTTGGTCACTCTAAGACTCAGTGGTATGATCTTTCTTGTACTTTACGAGGGTGGAAACACAACTTACCTTGATAAAGGAGAAACCAACTTCCTTGTAAAAATCTGGGCTTGTAGTCAGCGGTGAACATGTACCTGTGGTTATACTACACACGATGCAGCTGGGAAATTTTAATCACAGCGAAATAAAGGTTGGCACATGGTGTCCCGAGAGTGAAAATAAAAGTTAAGGGAAATGCCAGGCCCCTAGCCTGTTGAATTTTTGAAAAACATGGAATCTGGAACAATATATTTAAATAGCCTTGCTTTATAGGCAGTTATTCTTTTCACTCTGTGTCTGTTGAGTGCTGAGAAGCAGCACCTTGACCTGGTCTGTGTTCTTGGCTGGAGAGAGGTGTCAAGCTTTATTGTTGCAGGAATCAAAATACTGTATCTGCATAGCATAACGGTGGGAACGAGAGGAAACCAGAGAAGGTGAAAACCCCTCTAGAGATGGAACCAAATCGGAGAATAAAAGACAGACCTTGGCAATGGCCGCTTTTCTTCTCTTCCCCTTCTGATTCATTCAAAACACACGATTTATCACTGTCTATAAAATTAAAGTAGTTTATGCGTTTCACTGTCACTGATGAGGACACTTGTTGATAACAAAAAATTTCAGGATAGGGAACATTTTTGTCTCCGCAAAACTATTTGGAGATGCTGCCAAGCTTTCCGCACACATGGGAGATCTTCATTTGTGCAGATCTGAAGAGAGGAGCCTCCGCTCACAGATGTGGGGTGTCAAGACTATTTGTGTTATACATTCTCCACATTTTTGATGAAACGGAACAGTCTCTTTGCCATTTTGAGTTTGCTTAGACTAAATTATTAGGAACGAGCTTCAAATAAACACAACCTTTTCCTCCTTTTCCTCTCTCTCGCTCTCTCTCCCTCTGCCTCAGTGTGGAGCTCGGGGGACAATAAGTTGGTTGTGATGAAGAACTTTATTGGAACGTTTAACTTAAGAATGAGGGATTGGAGCCGGTAAACAAAGCATTCCTTTCCCTTTCATCACCGTTTAACTGTTCCCCCAAGTTAGTCTCACCTCCAGGCCAGTGCCCGCCAGAGCAGGGAACTTGTCAAATAAATATAAATCAAAAACGAAAGCTTTATCTCGCAAGTTACTGTGCAGTTTCACCTTCTAATCTGGAATCATCTGTAAAACCTTCATCTGTAGCACAGAGAGCAGACTCTGCGAGGTAACGCTGAGCGTGTATACACATATCTCCCAGAGTGCACTTCAGAGCAGAGCAGCGCCACTGCCATAGTAGCACCCCTGTGATGGTGATCCAGACGTGTAGCCTGGAGGGCCATTTGGTTATACTCAGGGGAATGGTTGTTGTGTCAGTCATTTGCAGCAACTGCTAAAGAGTGCACTTAGCATCCTCTGTTTCCCCCTAGCAAACATGTGGGGAGTGACATGATACTGTACAAGAGCCTGGACAACATATAACATTTCAAAGCAATTTCCTAATTGTTTCCAGGCCAAGGTCGACAGTCTGTATGGAAGCAATCCCTTCTTTTAAACTTCTCCCCTTTTTTTCATTCACAGATTGGGAAACATTAAAGTGTTAAGTAAACTTGACCCAGGAGGCTCTAATTCATTGGCAAATAGCTGAGGTTCATGCATTCGGTGCCATATCAGTGACAGTCAGTGGATTTCCTTCTACTTGTATGGTCACCATATGTTTATTCAGTTTAGTTTTCTGGTGCAATCCAGACACTAAAGAGTGACATTTGGTGTCTGTGTCACTAAAGATTAGATTTTGGCAAAACCACGTGTGATTTTAACAACTTTACACAGAGAAAAATTGAATTAAACGGTTATTAAATCGCAGTAATCTAAATTTGTCGGAGCATCATATTGTAATCATTAATCTGAGTGACTGATAGCCATTCACAGGCCATCTGTAATCTAGACCTTGAGTGTTATCTCATTTCATTTGACATGTTATTCAACAACCTTATGCTGTTAATCATAAAGTTAAAAATGACCTGTTTTATCCAATCAAAATAGGAAATAAATCATTGCATTGATCTTTTTGCCCAATCAAATGTTCATCATGTTTTCAGGGGAATATGGTTAATGTCCACTTTGACTTGTCTTTTGTCCACTGTCTTGTATTTTAATATCTTTTTTTTAGCTATTTCTAGCTCCCTCTAGTTATTCTCATGACTGTGTTTATTATTAAATCTCTATTTTGCGCTTTCAAAGCAGATTTTGGCCAAATTCAAGCTGACGTTCTTCTTTTAAAAGGTTAACTTACAGTGATCCTTCAGCAAGCTTTTTTTTAAGCTTTTGCTAAATGTTTGGTTTGGTTAAATTCTCAGTTTCTCACTTTTTTGCTGTTTGGCAATGTTGGATTAAGGCCTGATTTTAATTTCTTATCTACCATTTACCTTATCTTAAATAACCTAAAATTAAATTGGACTTCAAATAGCAAATCACAAGCTCTACATGACGTCACAACATTCATAGCATTATTTTTGCATCTGTTCATTTGTATATTTTCCTGAAAAGAAATAAAAAAAAATACTGCATGATCGTATGTCAGTACATTTTCTGATTAATTTAAAAAAAAGACAAGGATAATAATAATCACTACAAGCACCAGGCTGAAGGACTTTGTTTGGAATTTTATTTGTACAGTAATGGTGTGGAATAGTATCCAGTAATATAAGTATATAAATGATCTTATATATCATCGTAAAAACTCTTTACCTCTAACTGAATGCACCTCAAAACTCGGATCCTATATGCAATAATGAGGTAGACATTAATAATGGTAATTTCCACCCTCTGCAAACAAACAAACAACAACGAATACACCTTAAATTACTCTTGTTCATGTAAGAAATATATGATTATCATGAAACTCTGTACATCACAAATAATAAAATAATTATAGAATAGAAATTATACCATTTGAGTGCATTTTGTATATTTACAAAGAAATGTCGTTTTCCCATTTCTTCTTTAGTTGCACTTTGTAAAGTTTTTTCTCTTTTCCACTGTACAAATATTTACAGCTCAACAAAAATAGTGAACAGCAGTGCATTCAAAGCTAATGTGCATTTAAATAGCGTCTCATCTGTGAGTCTTTCTTTTCATTTTAATATATTCATCATCGTCAGGAAGGACAAACTTTCTCGCTGACCGCGTGTCCTTGGCGCTGTCAGTTTTTGGAAGTGCATTGCGTAAAGATGCAGACGTTTGAGCAAAAGGTTCGCCTCAGTAAGGAGCTCTTTCCTTTATTTCATTCACTAATTTCTCCTTTCTTTCTTATTTTCCTTCTTTAACAACAATCAGGCACAAGTTTGGATCAGTGATCTCTGTGCACAAAGGCGCACGACGCGTCCTCTGTGGCGCGCCCTCCGAGAGTCCCACCGAAAATCTCTTCTAGGCATTACAACCATATCACAGCCCAGTGTGTGCCTTTGTGTGTACCTTTTCATGTGGTGATTATAACGCGTCTATAAAATAGTGATGAACAGGGACTTGTGCAACTCAGTGATTTCTGACTCCATCTGGACGCACACACTGACCCGCTGCCTCTTCAGGCAGAGTCCACTGTCCTGCGGCCTCGGCACGAACAGGTGCACAGTCGGACTCACTGGGCTCCCATCTTATTTCGCTAACATACACCCACACGCGCACCATGTCCCCGAATCTCTCTGCCATCAGGACGGGTCCCAATCTGGGAAACGGAAGCCTGTTAGGGGAGTGCTAACGTGTGGATGGGAATAAATGTGCGTTAACACTTTAAGGCAGAGTATTTATATTTGAATTGGCTGCATAAATAACGAGATATTCGCCTCTCTTCTTGTCTGCTGCGCATCTCTTTGAGTGGAGACACGGCGCGTCATGCCTGAAAGCATGACAGACATGTGAGGGCTTATTTATCTTCGACCTGGGAACCATCAAGACACTTTTGACTTGTCTCTGTCTCTAATAGTTTTCAGACACACAATGGCCGCTACCTGCACCCGCACTGCTCCACCACCATGTCCTCATACTGTTTGTACACCACGTTGTTTCCTGAGTCTATGTACAGGATGCTGATGGGGCTGAGTTTGGTGGGGACGCAGCAGCTGGGTGGGGTGCTGTTGGGGTCCATGGAGTTCATTAGCGTCTGTATGATGGCGTGGTTGGTGGGCTCCAGGTGCGACCTCAGGGGGAAGTCGCACACACCCTCACAGTGATACGCCTCGTAATCCAGAGGCGCGATGATCCAATCGTCCCAGCCCAGTTCTTTGAAATTCACATGCAGCGCCTTTTTGCTGCACCTGGATTTGGACTTCTTCCCGTGCCGTTTACCGTGCCGGTTACTCAGCGCAGTCCTCCTCCTGCGCCGGGGCCCTTCTCCTTTAAAGCGCTTTGGAGGAACTCCCTCCTCCTCCTCCTCCTCCTTCAGCGCGCTCAGTGCGTCTGCCGCTGGCGCTTCCTCCTTCTCACCCACAGACCTCCGAGATTTGATCTTCTCCTTCATCTCGTTGAAGAGGTTTTCCCTCCTCTTGGAACGGGTGTAGGCCACTAGGATGGCCTTGTCCTGCTGGGACCGGCCGCTCCTGTCCAGCCCCAGCTGCCTAAGGTCCACCTCGGTGTCTGATTTGGCGAGGGTGACCCTGAGCTGGAAGCAGATCTGGCTCCTCTGATGAGAGCGGTGCTGGTGCGGTTTAAACATTTCCCACAAGTCCAAAACCTCCCACCCGGGTTTGGTAGAGTCCAGCGGGTCCAGAGACCTGGAGTCCAGCAACGTGTCCGAGCGACAAGGATAGATCTGGATGTCGTAGAGGCCCCTGGTCTGCAGAGGAGCCTGCAGGTCCCGGGACCCTCTCCTGAATATCCTTAATTCCGCGCCCACCAGCTCCTCCTGGTCTGAAAGGGTTGAGACATCAAACAGATACTTCTGTCTTCTCAGAGGAGAGTGCAAAAGATCGTCTGCAAGGATAAAAGAGAGAAATAATTGCAGTCAGATTCACTTAGGGTGTACAGTGTTCAGTCAGGGGGGCGAGTGTACGGGAGGGGGGGGGGGGCACTTTCTCCCACAAGGGCCTTCCCCCCCCCCACCCC